AAAAAAAAAGACTTCCTCGGCGCCTGCGGAACGCAAGAGTGACAGCACGCTAGCGCCATCTGTTGGTCAAAGCCATGCAGGAACACCGCTAACATTGCATGTGATGCATGAAAGGGACAGCTAATAAAACTAATAAATCATCGAAATACACATCTATAAATTAAGTTTATATGTGTAATGGCTTTCATTTCTTCATAAAATGCCTGGATTTCTTAACTGAAATATTGGTCTGGAATGTTTGAAGCCATAACTATCTGGCAGAGTAACTATTACACAAAAGACTACATACAGATCATTGATCTGAAATCGTTATTTAATGACAGACTATAGCATTATACACTTTAGATTACAGAACAAAGCAATGTTAGCGGTGTTTGTGCATGGCTTTGACCAACAGATGGCGCTAGCGTGCTGTCACTCTTGCGTTCCGCAGGCGTCGAGGAAGTCTTTTTTTTTTTTGGTTTTGGTTAAGTCATTTTTATGAGAAAGTTTCTCATTATTACGAGATACTAAGTCATTATTTCGAGAAAGTTTCTCATTATTACGAGAAACTAAGTCATTATTATGAGAAAATAAGTCATTATTTCGAGAAACTAAGTCATTATTACGAGAAAGTTTCTCATTATAACGAGATACTAAGTCATAATTTTGAGAAAGTTTCTCATTATTATGACTTACAGAATTATATTTTTTTATTTAGTGGCGGAAACAGGCTTCCATAGCTGACAGATCTAACCGACACTTGCGCCACAGAAACTAATTCAACAGGTAACTTAACGTTAGACAAACCCGCCCATTCACTATATATTACAATAACTTTGAACTTTTTCTTAATCGTTATTCATGATCCGCTTAATTAGCATCACATGGATATGCTAGATGAAACTGACTAAGTTTACTAATGCAGCCGAAGCCCCGGTAAACACATCGGCTCGAGGAGCATTTATGATGGCTGTTTTGCTAACGTTATTTACCATTTCAGACTGATATTTGCTCCTCGCGTTTTTTTATTCGAAACTCATAATTGCATATGTTTTTGAAATCAATGTTTTCAGAGCAAAGGCAACGTGGAGTCACTGGAGTGCTGGGATGTCAAAGGCAACAAGATGGCTGCAATTAGGAATGAGAATGTGACGTAACTCCTCATTCTCTATACTACGGGCCTAAAGTGAAGTAAGTAGAATTCACATTGATTTAATTAATAGGTTTTAGTGTTTAGCGGGGTTTTTCTTTTTGCAACAATCATATACAGCCAGTGTCACTTGATATGTCGTCATGGACATAGGAATGAAAATCATTCAAAAATCACAGCAATAAAACTATAATAATTTAACTGGGGACTCAACATTTTTAACTTACGTGTGAAAAAAATGTGTAGCAAATCACATTAGATTCCTCATGAAAAGTTCATTTAAAAAAAAAACTTCATTGTAAATCTGCATTTCTCAGTCAACCAATCAGCTTCCACTAAGTAAGTTTGAAGATCCGGCGTTCAACAGTTCGGACAAAATGATACCTAAAGTGATAGCATTTGGATTTAAAGAATATAATATCAAGGGAAACAAAATAATTGCAATATGTAGAATGTGATTCAAAAATTACAGACGCTTTGTCAATGACGTCCAATTTTGTGAGGCATCTGAAGACCCATAGACAGAGGTAAGTTGAGATTGTTTACTGTACACATGTGGTTCATTAAATTAGCACAGACTCAGTGGACAATGGACATTAACTACAAAAAAGCTACACACACTATATATATATATACTGGACAGGTGTCTTTTATACTGATAACGAGTTCAAACAGATGCCATTAATACAGGTAATGTGTGGAGGATTTACCAATTAATTCTTTAAAAATCTTACAATGTGATTTTCTGGATTTTTTTTCTCATTTTGTCTCTCATAGTTGAGGTATACCTATGATGTAAATTACAGGCCTCTCTCATCTTTTTAAGTGGGAGAACTTGCACAATTGGTGGCTGACTAAATACTTTTTTGCCCCACTGTATATACACAGTATATATAACTTCTCAATATATAACTAAATTAAATATAATAAAATGGTAAATTCTTATTAAGTGGAGGTGTTTAATTTATTGCCACATGCTGCTGTAGGACTACAGAAACTAAGCTTAACTGGCATGACTATTTGGCATTTACAACATTTACAAAACATATAATGGTAATTTTTAAAATAGATAATACATTTAAATATTTACAGCTATTAAACAAATAAGACACAATTTGTAAATGTATTTGAAAGACTTTCGGGGTAGTATGAATTAAATGTGTTTTGCATATAATATATTCATATAACGTGTATGAAAAATAAAGGCACAAGCTACAATTGAGTATTGAAGGCAGAAGGAGATAGCATTAGAATGCAAAGCCATGTAATGTTTATCATCAAACATAGCCTAAAAGGTTTTTATTTTTGTCCATTATTATTTTAAATGTATTTATTCTGAATATTATCTAAACTCTGCTTTGTATTATCTTTATCATAACAGGTTTGAAGAATATCAGATGAACAAAAACACCCCAAATGATCCACAGCAACCTTCAGTCTCACAGTTCATGGAAACCCATGTTGGGCAGTACAGTGTCACTCACCCACAACAGAGAGCTATAACTAATTCAATACTTTCTGACTTAGTTATTGATTGCAACCTACCTCTGTCCATTGTGGAAAACAAGAGTTTTCGGCACTTTCTCTCAGTGGTTGACCATAAGTATGCTCCCCTGTGTCAAAGAACAATGACCTCAAAAGTAGAAAACCTTGCTGAGGAGCGATGCAATAAGCTAAAAACTGTGTTAAGGAACACACAAAATGTGTCTGTCACAGTGGATATTTGGTCCAATAGAAAAATTAGGTTTTCTTGGTGTAACTGCACACTTTGAGACAACTGATGAGAAGATCAAACTTAACTCCAGTTTACTGGCTTGCAACCGTTTCAAAGCCCCACACACAGCTGAAAGAATAAGTGAGCAATTTGAATCAATCTGTGATGATTTTAACATTAAAGATAAATTAGACTATATTATTAGTGATAATGCAGCCAACATGAAGAAGGCCTTCACTGTGTGCTTCCCCACTGAACAAGAACAAGACATACATGATGAGGACCAACTTGATGATCCACAGATCTGGAATGACCTAAGCCCAGAGGAGCAGCAATCCTTGGATGCTGCTATTGCAAGAAAACAGCATCTTCAGTGCTTTGCCCACACTCTCCAGCTGGTGGTGGGTGACGGTTTAAAAGAAACAAATGCAATTTCATGTGCTCTCTCAAAACTGTCCAAAATCAGCTCATTGCTTCACACAAGCACAACATTCAAAGAAGTCTTTCAGTCTGAATTTGGAGAGAAGAGCATTCCAGCTGCTGTTAATACAAGATGGAACTCAACACTGAGACAGGTAAAAGCACTAATAGAATGTGATCATCCAAAGGTTTGTGGTGTTCTGGAAAAGTCTGGACATAAGGAGCTGTTGTTCACATCAAGGGAGTGGAATCAGTTGAAGGAGGTGGTGGACATTTTGAAGCCGTTTGCAGAGGCAACAGATCTGACACGGGGAAAAAACGGTCATCATCAGTGCTGTTGTTCCATCGGTTCTTGCTCTAAATCACCACTTGGAGAAGCTGAAGTCACAGGTCTGCTTCTTAAGTGGCCTAGTCAGAAGTTTGCAAGCATCCCTCGTCAAAAGATTCCTTGGAATATTCATCAGTGTAAAAATGGCAAGTGCGAAAGACGAAACCCCTGCACCATTTTCAGACCCAGTCTATCTAAAAGCGGCTGTCTTGGATCCAGCGTTTTCACTGCAGTGGCTAGAGCACCATGTGCTGGTCAGTCCTGAAATCAAGGATGTGGTTGAACAAAAAGTGAAGGGTAAATATCACACTTAAAGTCTGTGTAAAGGCAGTTCCGAGAATTGTTTCTAAACAAATTCTAAATGTTAGAAATGTTTTGCAAAAAGCATGTTACAAAGACTGTAAACTATGTAGTACTGATTTGTGTTATGCAGTTAGACCATTAAATAGGTTTTCACCATTTTTATGATTTTTGAGCGGGGCTGAAAGCATGTCTCGAATCTTGATGATGCACTGGAGCCACCGAGCATGGCCCCTTGCCTAACACTAGAGGTGTGTTCGACTTGAAGAAGCACTGCCCAGTCTGATCAGTGTGTGACATCAAAGTACGGTGAGAGCTATAGAGAGCAGACGCTCCTTATGCTGTCGAATTGCTATCACGCTACTTTGTTGTCACACACTGATCGTTCTGCGCAGTGCTGCTTCAAGTCGAACACACCCAACCGTGTTAGGGGCCCCGCAATAACCTCCAGGTGCTGAGTTGCGTTGTCATATCATGTGTCGACTATTGCCAGACATATTGTCAAACGCATCAAATATTGGCAATATTAAGAGGATTTAGCATTTCCAATTAATGTAGGCCTGTTACCTTGTTATTATTATTAGGACTATTATTATTATTATTAGCAGGGCTGTGCAGAGACCTTTGGAGGGGCAGGTGCTCAAAGTATAAAAGGGGTACATGGAGCACGGCTTAAACCACTTAAACACATTTCATTACACCAAATACACAAAATAATGTTCTTTTTAGCAACATCATATGACCCCTTTAAGCATTCAAATTTGACTGGGTGGTTAATAACACATTTTTATGTAGTGTGACAAACTCAGAAAACATATTTAATATTGCTTTACATGGACTTTAATGATTTTTTAACCTTAACAATTTCAACTAAATGATTGAAACAATAATAGATTTTCATTGTAATTAACTGCATAATTAGCAACATTGTAATAGTTATATTTGCCTGTTCTTTTCTTTTCTGTTTGCCAGATATAATCGTGGAAGATGCTGCTGAGTTTGTGCAGGCTACTTGTTTTGAGTCTGAAGATCAAGGGTATAAGGCCTCTTCTTCAGCAGCCTGAAGAAGAGGTGGGGCTGTTTGCAGCCTATCATAAGAGACAAAGGAAAAACACTGGGACCACACCAGCACATCAGTTAAGTCACTATCTTGACTTATCTGAAGGACAGAATGCCCTGTTATTCTGGGCTATGAACAGGAACACCCTTCCTGCATTATTCTGAGTGGCCATCAGGGTCTTGGCAGTGCCTGCCTCTAGTGCCCCAGTAGAGTGCGTTTTCAGCCATGGAGGCATCATACTACGACACCATCACACACAAATGAGTGACAGACTTTTGGCCAATTTGATCTTTTGCAAGTGCAATGCACCATTGGGCCCAGAAAAAAGAATAATCACTGTTACGGACGGAAACATTCATTCATTCCTTCACTCACAAAAACTTGTAGTATAAAGTTTGGTTGCACAGTTTTTAAATGATCTTCATGAGTTTGTGTGTATCCATGTTGCATGTTTGGCAAGTATGGTAGCAGTAATTTCTTCTGCATCTGCATTTCTTTTCACATGATATTTCTTAATCTGTTTCTCTGAGGTTCTAAAGAATCATTCAATCGATATGTTCTCATGCACACATCAAAGTCTGTAGCAGTCATTTATTGTCTTTGATATTCTGTTACTAATAAAATAGTGTTTTTCTTCACTGTGTAATGAATCAGCTCATGGGGAAATATGAATAATTAATCATAACTAGTTATAATTAATTATGAATATTTAGATCCGCTGTAGATATTTACTTGACCTCTCAGGGTCAACTGTCTTGTCAATTCTAAGAACATTAATTTCCTGGTTAAGGGAAATAACTTCCTTACTGTACAATTCTACAAAAGCTTGTAGCATAAATCTGCATGATTAAGTGACTCCAGTTATGAGCAAACAATGAACCACGTCAAGTGTGATACAAGTAAGGTTTTATTAACTACATAAACACTTAAACTAGTCTAACATCCTACATAAACTGGTCTAACATCCTACATAAACGGGTCTAACACACACATACACACGCATACAGTTGGTATAGGAAAGGGTTAAAGCTTAAGCAGTAAAGAGGAAATAAGGAATGAAGTTATTGAACCATTTGCATATTCAGCAGATCTACACCTGAGGGAAACATCAGATTCTTAGTTCAAACACACCTTTGTAAAAAGGTGCAAATGATACCTAATGTATCAATTAATAAGACTAAGTTTGAATACTTGCACTTCTCATCCTTCTGAAAGAGAGGTTTTATGTAATCTGAAGATTCCAGTTGATCTTTGCTGAAGTTGGTTGATGAAAAAGAACCAGTTTGAGTCAGAGAATCTTGTTGGATGGAAAAGACAAGGCCGAAGCCTGGCACGTACTTAGGGGGTTGCAGAAGTGTTCTAGCTCATGTCTTCATCTTAGAATCTAACCGAACCACCGATCCCGGGTGGGTCACATGAAGTGTGGCCTTTAAAGTCTGGAAAGATTCACGCCTCTCAAGATCGACTTGTCCAATGAGAGAGGCTGACGTCCCAAGTGGGAGTTTTGTGATACTGGGGAGTTTTTATGACCCTTTGTTTGAAAGCGTGGTAATTTGCATATGAAACTTGGATCAAAATTACTAAAGATTCTTAGAACACTAATATGTTGCATAGGTATAAACATACAATATACACTCTCAATTAGATCATCCGAATACTGACTGCTTCTGGGGTGTCGACCGGTTTCAAGGGATGCTCCTCCCTTGGAGGGGTCTGATGGATACTTCCGGCTTCGCTACCGTTCGGACGTTCTTGCTTACTGCTCTGCGCTTTGCTCCCTATTTCTGCTTATAGGGAGAAACCCTAATGAAACACACCTGAGCATGCTAATCAATGTCTTCAGGATCATTAGAAAATCACAGGTAGCTGAGTTTGATCAGGGTTGGAGCTAAACTCTTTGGGTCTCGCTCCCTGTTTGTGCCATCGATTTGTGTGACAATCAGTTTCGGCTTGTTCCTCTACACTTGGTATAAACTGTTGAGATTGACTAGGTTCATGGGACTCACCGGCTGTATG